TTTTTTTTTTTTTTTTTTTTTTTTTTTTTTTTTTTTTTTTTTTTTTTTTTTTTTAATTATTCCATTGAGATTTTATTTTCTATTTCGGGTCGATGTCACGTTCATGAGCTGGCTAGAGTTCATGGTCAAGTTAGCTAACCCTTTGGGATCGACCTTATGTTCGAGTAGGTCAAGTTAGTCGACCTCTTGGGGTCGATTTCATTGCTGAGTTGGTTGTCCCATGTTCAAGTTGGTTGACCCTTTGAAATTTACCTCGTGTTTAAGTTAGTCGATCTCGTGGTCAAGTCGGTTAAGCTAGCCAATGGAGTCGGTCTTAAAGCCTTAATTGAAATTTAAATTTAAAATACAAAAATATATTTTACTTATTTTCTTTTTTAATATTTATTTATTTTTGGGCCACACCTTCATACCCCAATTTATGGGCCCATTTTCACAACATTCTCATTCTCTGGCCCACATATATTTGGGCTCCTTTTTAATTCCATTGAAGTTTTATTATTATTATTTTTTATTTTTTATTTTTGTTAAATTACAAAAGTGATTAGTGAAAGTTGTAAATGGTGATTATTTAATGCAAATTTTCATTAAAATGTTTTAATCTACCTATTTAAATATTTTTACCTTTAAAATAAATTATAAAATGACGGATACATAATAAAATAGAATAAATCAATATATTTAACTTTAGATGTACTATGTTAGTCTACACTACCCTATTATTGCAATCTCGTTGACCAAGTAATCTAAAAAATATCGAACCGGTAATCTATCAAACAATAATATGAATATTTTTACTAAAATATACTCATAATGAGTTTTTTACCATTTGTGCATATAATTTTCATGGAATTTTGACGAGCATAAGAGGATGATGAAAAATATTTCAAGGCGTGTAAATGTGAACCTACGACCTATTTTATCAAAATTTCGATATCAATTTTTTATTAGGGCAGGTAAAGAAAAAATATTTTTATTCTTACAAATAATACTATAAAACATATTTTGAATAAAAAATTTGTTAAAACACTTAACTAAAAAGTCCACATATCTGAATATTATCTCAATGTCATAAAGTTTATGAATGATCAATGACAATGTTATAAATTTTGAATTAATGTATATATATGCTTTTCGAAAACAAAATTTAAAGATAATTTTTATATTTAGCCTAAGATTTCTTTTCTTCCCCATTCTTCAAAATAATAATAATAATAATAAATAAATAAAATAATTTATAAGTGAGCCTTAAAGAAATGACCATACCCATTTAAAAAATGGTAAAAAGTATCCCAATAAAATTATTTTTAGGAAAAAAAAAAAAAAAAGACTTCAAAAAGATTCTTATATATCAAAAGAGTATTTCTAGCCTAAATTTTAAGCGCTGAAGTAGAATAATTCACGAAGTACAATGGCCAAAACTATACTTCCAACCTAACTATTTAAGTTATTTATCTTGCAATTTCAAAGCAAACAGAAAGTCGAGCCATACCGCGCTCGCCGAGTTCACGGTGCTGCGCTGCGAAGCTTTTTTCCAGAAGAGAATTTCTTTTACAAACATGAATCCCAAGTTTGCACTGTATACAGTTAAAAAGGCAAAAAAACCCATTGATGAAGCATGGTATAAAGATCAGTCAGATGCTTTATGAAAATCACTCATCAGTGAGACTATGATTGGTTGGGCATCCGAAAAGTAGAAATTATTTAGACAAGAATATGTAAAAAGTAGTAGAAATTTCCATTCTCTGTATTCAGATCAGCTTCGAATTATAATCAGGTAATGAAAACACAAATAAATATCCATGAGAATCAATTCATAACAAAAAGAAAAGAAAAGGAATGAATCCCTGTGCTGATGGATGGAAAAGTAGATGCCTAGACTCTTTTATACGATATAGATAACATAAAGAGGAACCTTCGGGTTGAATGTCTTACTGTTTTCGATAGGGCATAAGTCATCGGAGTGTCGAGTTTACCAGAGTTACGATGTGGAAACGCCCTAATTAGAAAACGTCAGGGTGGAAACGCCCTGGAATGGAGCTGCTTTGTTGAGCTTGCTTGAGATGCATTGTAAGTGCATAGTTATTCACCTAGTAATAATCCATTAAAAGGTGCAAGAGATATCAGACTATAAGAAGTATGTGTCGTGAAGCAAGATCTATGAGCATTTATGGAACCAACCTCCAGGGTTTTCAACTGTTCCTGATATTGAGCGACTAATTCCTTAAGATGTTGTAACTCCTGGTTCCTGCCTTCGTATTCTTTCTGACGTTCGTGCTGAATCGAGACAGCCCTTTTGAGAATTGTGTTCTCCTGAATAAGTGCTTCCACTTGTTCTCTAAGCATCTTGTTTTCCTAAAATTGGACAAATGAAATAAGAATCAGGGTAACAGCCTCAAAAAATTGTGGCACAAATAAACTAGTAGAAATTGTAAAACGTTTCAAAACCTGCTGAAAATTATTTGTTGCCTCGGCATTTGCGCGGGCACAGATGGATTTTTCCAGAACCTCGAGAACTCTTGAAGCACGACTTCGTGCATCGTCCATATTCGAGGCACTTGTCATTTCTCTCACGAAGAGTTCCACCCATTCTGCCCCATTTGTGGGAAGATTCTCAGAAGCTGTTGCTTCCTCAGCAATTGCAGCTTCTCCTTGCGTTTCTGCTTCATTTTACACAAAAAGATGAGACACATTATGCTACTAACAACTGGATCAAAGAGCACCGAAGCCAAAAGATGAAAGATACAAGTATAGTTCAAACTGTTGCCACTTTTTCTTGTAAAGGAAACAATTCGAACTGTTGTTATTAATAATATGTAGAATGTATTGGAGATTCCAATTTGAGGAGCAGAAGATATCAGCAGACTATATCGAAGGTGTCTCGTTGTGTACATAATATGCAGCCAAGAAAACAGTTAAGCTAACAAGTATGTCGTAAATGTAGTGAATATGCCAGTATCTCACAAAAAAGAAACCTTTTCTACTCGTTAATTAAGGAATTAAAAGATCGACAAACGAATATACAGCATTGAGAAAGTCTTGCAAGCCATCTCCAAGGTCGACCTAAGGCACTCTCTGATGCTTCACTTGCCTAGTGTCATGGATATTCAGATGATGAAATAGAAGATCACTCATTTTGCACGGCCATTCACTACTAGTAAGTCATCAATTTGGTTCGAACAAGTACTCGTAATCCAGATCAAGTTGATTAAGAAGTATAAAATTGACATCAGAAGTACAGAGAAATGTAAAACAGAAACAAAATGCACAATTTAAAGATAGTTCACAATTTCAATAAGTTTGAACTTAATGGAACATAGAATTGAGAAGCTTCCATTTGTACAGTTTATGTATGGCCTGTGCAAATAAATTTGATATAAAAGCTGCCTCCTAAGTAGCCTATTGTGTTATGATTTAACACAATGAATCCCTATGATTCCTTTCGTATGAGTTATGATTTATGAATCCCTATTGTGTTATGATCTAATACAATGAATCCCTATGAATCCCTATTGTGCTATGATTTAACACAATGAATCCCTATAATCCATTTCGTATGAGTTATGATTTAACACAATGAATCCCTATGATTCCTTTCGTATGAGTAATACATAGTCCGTATGAACAACCGGCTTATCAAGAAAGTATAACACTTCCAAATATGTCAAGAATTTCAAAATGTTCATCTTCAAATCTTCTCTCATGCAATTACAGATGTCCAATTGAAAATATTCCAAATAAAGAAATTTCAAAGCATCGAGAATATAATGATGAAGTCCAATAGATATTAATCAAACCTTGGGATTGAGGTTGAATATTTGCTTCCAAAGCAACATCGGAGGTGTTTGAAGCGCTTCCCAAATTTCTGTCATTATATCCTAAATGAAGCTGGTTCAAACTTCTGATGGCTAAGTCTAGATCATCACCACTTTCTTCAAGTGCTCTCTCTAGAAGCTAGAATATCAATTTCAAAGCAATCAGTACGTATTCAAGTAAGCATTCCTTGAATTCAAAATGCAAAAGTTTTTTCATCAGAAATGTCCTCAAGAGACAACCAACACCAGTGGTTCATATTTCAATGATTGATAACGTAATGTTCGCGAATGCTTAAAACATTTCGAAATATAATTTTTCATTAGAAAAAAAGAGGTGCATATCCAAACCGACCTGCTTATCCATATCAGGAAAAATTGCGCTAAGATAATCGACTAAATGAGCCGATTGCGAAGACGACGTCGGAGGAAACGGAAAAGCAGACTGATTCGATGACCTCGGAGGCGAAAACCTCACAGGCGAAGAAGACGAACAACGAATTCTCTTAGAGACGGGAGGTGTAGGTAGGTCTTCAAATAAGGATCTCTTCCCGCACACTATGGCAGACATGTTTCAGCGCCGCTGCTCAGCTTCCTTACTCTCTAAGCGCTCGATCCGCACCCAAACCTTCCGTCGTCCAATTCATGCAGCAAAACCACCGGATCGAAACCAAAACATCTTCAACAATTCCAAGTCAACCACAAACAAATTAGGTTAGACGCAGAGAAAATGATCGAAATAGGTCAAACTCCTCCCGATTTCATCAACTATAAACAAAATTACAAGAAACTCAATCCCTAGGGATTTCAAATGGAAGGAAAATTAGGAAACAGAGAAATTCTTAGCATCTGAAGCTCTGAGACTTTGGCTCATCTTCGTTCATGGCTACCAAGAGTGCGATTGTCGTCTGCATATTCTCAAAGATGAGATTGAAAGAACGAACAATCATAAAGACGACACGTCGTATGAAGAACAAAGAAGAAGGTTTTGAAAAATTCCCCGTCGTTGACACGTGTTCTTCCTTTATTGGTTAAACGCTGTTGTAATGGCTATTACTTATGGATCTGAAACGCAAGTTATTCTCTGTCACAAAATAAATATAAATTGATTTAATTAATTATAAGTAAATTCTATTACTTTTTTTAATTAGGTCATTTTTTAATATTATTAAATGGTCTATGTCTTTTGATTTGGGCCTTGAGGTATGAGAGGAATGGCCCACAATAATTTAGGCCCAACCCAAATTTGAGTTGTTATTTATAAAATATATATATATATAATTCTTTTTTATTTTTTTAATTTCATGACTATTTTATTATTATTTATTCTCCAACAACCTTCCAAAATCATTTTTAATAAAAATTATTTGGAAGGTAATTAATTATAAATTTTTATTAAATGTTTAAAAATAAATAAATATATCGTTCCATTTTTGTTAAAAACAAAAATTTGAATAAATGATTTGAACAACCTAATCGAACCCAACAGCCTCGATTGAGTTGAGTTGAGTTTATTATTTAATAAGAGTTGTTTGGGTTAAGGGAGTTCACGACCCAAACATATGTTATTTCTGTGTGTGTTCTTTTGGGGAAGATTAGCATGTTATCACTAGAGTAACTTTTATCCGTTAAGCGACGACCTTCCACTCGGCACCGTCGGATCACTAAGGCTGACTTTCGACCCTACTCGACGAGTGGGTCTTGCAGTCAAACTCCCTTCTGTCTTTGCACTCGAGGGCCAATCTTCGTCTAGCCCAAGGAAACCTTTGCACGCCCCCGTTACCTTTTGGGATATGCATGTCAAACTACGATACCCTAAGAGCATATCGTGATGACAGAAAAGTAGGTTTTGAGGAAAGCTCGGCTCTATCGAATTATTTTAGGGTGACCGTGATGATTGTGATGACTGTGATTTTTTACTCTAAAATTTGTAGTATCAAATTGTTTCAGGGTATGGTGATGATCCTGACGACCGTTATTTTTTACTCTAAAATTCGCAGTATCAAATTAATTTAGGATCGATTCTATTAAAAAAAAATATATATTTTAATTGGTTCGGGAAGTATGGATAGCCCACTCAATTGGTTATTCCTTTGGAATTAAGGTGGTGGAAGGCATAGTCGACAAGCAACCATACATCAATCAAAATGCATTCTTTTAGGGCAATTGTCCCATCCACCAATACCACCCTACTAGAATTTACATGCTCTCAACTATGATGATGTTGTAGCAATGGTCCATTATTTAGGGCTTTTTCATTGAGTAAAGGGAAGAATTCCGCTCGATTATTAGCTATATTCGATGTTACGCTACCTGAATTATTTAAAATGAGTTCATCGACTTAATTCAATCTGTTTTCTCGAGTTGGTTGCTAACCCTTTTATCGTTATCGGTGACCTAACTATGATTAAGCTCGAGTATATTGAATCCATTCGAAAATACATGAAGATATTCTTTTCTACAAACGAAGGCTAATTGCTCAAAGCTCGAGGTCATAACTCTAAACGTCGTCGAGTATGAGTGATACCTTAAATGAAGAAATCTCGATTATTAGTATATATATATACCTCAATCTCGAAGCCTTTAGAGTATCTTTTTGATAGACGCCTCAAGATGCATGAGGAATTCGTTGCTGATAGATCCTGTCCAGTGTCTTTCTCTTTCCCCTGCCGCCTTCCAACTCGCATGAGTATACAATGACAACTTTCGGGCACTCATGCCCGATCGTGAAACTGCCTATTGAACGTTTGATAGCGCGTTAGCTCCGACCTGAGCTATGCAACAACGAGATCCCCCTTGATCTTTATCAGATGTGCTTGACGGTCCCCCATAATACCTCACTTGGGGACTAATTACTCTAGCGGTTCCAAGAGTCTTGGCTAGTTGAACCCCATCCAATAGACTCCCTATTTGGCTCATCCCCTTCTTCAACTCTTTTATCGGGATATTATTACCTCGGTTCGTAAAGTTTAAATGGATTATATATATACATACATATACATATACATATACCGTACTCGAGCTTAGTAGTTTCCGCTGCCTGTCCATGAGAAACTTTGATACCATGTTAAGAACGATGTTTGTTTGATCTAAGGAGGGTCTCTTACCATTTAGTTGAAAGAAGAGAGAGAAAGAGTGGAGTTCCCATCCATCTCCCAAAAGAGATGGTGGCCAAAAAAGTTCTTTTTGTACAAAGAACTGGAATGATTGTGATGGTGATGATGATGCCTGTAATCACCAACAAAAAACAGGGTAAAAAAAAATCATCAAAATTTCTCTCTCTTCTTTTCATTCTCCTCTCACTTTCTCTCTCCTCTTCCGCCATAGCCTCCCTCCATGAAAGCTCTGCAACAAAAAACCCCATAAGTATCTACTTCATCATCAATGGAGGAAAACGAGAAGTGTGGCTGCTGGGCTGTCCTTAAACGCACCGTTTCGGACGCCTCCAAATCTTCCCCCTCCTCCAAACACTCCCCCAACTCCATTCCTCGTGTTACTCTGCTTTACGATTCAGGTACTCTCTGAAAATTCTGTTTTTTTTTTAATTTTTTTTTAATTTTAATCATCTGGGTTTGTTTATTAAATCATGACAAAAAATGGGTTTTTGAATTTGGGATTTTTTTAAATTTTTTTTAAGCTTTTTTTTATGCTCTGTTATGGTGACAGAAAACAGAGTACGGTTGTTTTCTCTGTAAATTCTGTTAAAATCTGGCGAAGAACACTGAAAGAACAGTAAATTCTGTTCTTACTGTTTCTGAGAATTTCTGAGTAAAAGCTGCAAAACTTTGGAACTTAATGATTTCTTTCATCTCTCTCTCTGTTTTTGGTTTTTTTCTCTCTGTTTTAGTGAGAGAAAAAGACAGCAACATTTTGAAACTCTATGAAGCTGTGTTCTTGCTCATACGTCGTCGTTTTGGCTGAAATTAAGTGTTTCGAATTATAATTCTCCACGGTGGTATGATATCGTTTTTTCCTTTTGGTAAAGTAAAAGCATGAGAGCTTATGCTCTGATACCAATTGTTAGAAATCAAGGCTCTCTATAATGATATGATATTGTCCATTTTAAGCATCAGCTCTCATGACTTCTTGCCATTGTGATTTCGAAAAGGTTCATAACAATTGAGTTAATATTCAATAACTAATATTACTATTTTATTTTTCAATAATTAATTTGTTATTTTAAATATTAAAAAAAATTCAAAATAACATTTTAATTATTCATTCTTGGCGGTTGCAGCTACCGAGACGCGGTACCTAAACGCAAGCAACCGAGATTTCTGTCCTCCGGCCGAAGCTCGGCTATCGTTCGACAATGCTCCGCCGCCGCCGTCCTCCGAGGACAAAAACAAGCGGCAGTTACTGAAATTTTCATTTCAGGAACTAAGATCGGCGACCGGAAATTTCCGACCGGATAGCATACTTGGAGAAGGAGGGTTTGGATTCGTCTTCAAAGGATGGATCGAAGAGAATGGCACAGCGCCGGCCAAACCTGGATCAGGAATCACTGTCGCTGTAAAAAGCTTGAAGCCGGATGGTCTTCAAGGCCACAGAGAATGGGAGGTTCGAATTTCAACTTTTCTCTATGAATTTTGATGCTATTTTTCTCAAAATCTTCTTTCAATTATTTCAGCTTTCGATTACATTAGAAATTTTGATTTTAGGTTAAATCATATAGAATGCTCTGAACTATATGGGTTTTTATCATACCTAATCGTTTTAAGATTTCTCTCATAATGTCGACATTCGTTCACAGTGCCATTATCATCTTTTCCTTTTGATGACACTTTAGAATTAATTGTGATCATTCTTCTTACTTTTTAAGCCATAGCCATATTTATTTGTTGGCTGAGAGCGGGAGGCCCCAACCATTGTCGGTTGATTTTGAGAGCGAGTAAATAAAATATTTGCCACCGACGGTTCTCTTTTCTTTTCTCTCTCAAATCCTAAGCCTCACTTTTATTTGAATGGAGAACCAACGATGGGTTTGTTTTAGACGGCTCAAAAGCTAAGTATTAAAATCAAGCTTTTGAAACGATGAGGAAATAAAGAGATGATTGTGATCTAATTACAATAAACTTTAGCATTAAAGGCATTTTATATGATTTAACTTTAGTTCTTACTACTTTAATCACATTTGATTACTAGGATATATTGCATTGAAAAGATTAAGAAAGGAGCCACCATAGGTTGACCCCTTAATCAATAAGGGCCATTTAAATAATAAACTGCTTAGATGGAATGAGTTTGAGTCATGATGGCGTTCCCGTCTATGATTTAGCATCCTATGAGTTACCTTAACAATCAAATATAGTACGGTCAGGTGTGTTGAGAATTGTTAGGAGGAGATGGTCATGAGTTTATCTCCATTGGTATGAGGCCTGTTGGGGAAACCAAAAGCAAATGTACTAGAGTTTATGCTCAAAGTGAACAATATCATACCATTGTGGAGGTCTGTGATTCCTAACAAGGTGGTTGTTCGGTAAGAACAGTTGTGGTGCATGCAAGTTGACTTGGACACTCGGAAAAAAAAAAAAAAGAAAGGAAAAAAAAGAGAGGAGGACTTGATGGTAGGGTTTATAAGTAAGGAATGCATCTCCATTGGTATGAGGCCTTTTGGGGAAACCAAAAGCAAAGTCACGAGAGCTTATGCTCAAAATGGACAATATCATACCATTGTTGTGGTTCGTAATTCCTAACAAGGTAGTTGTTCGGTAAGAACAGTCGTGGTACATGTATGTTGACTTGGACACTCGTAAATAAAAAGAATGGAAAAAAAGGGAGGAGGATTTGATGGCAGGGATTAGAGATAGTTTGAAGAAAAAAATAGTAAAGTTTGATTAGTTGAGGATTTGTTAGTGTTGGTAATGAATATGTAGATGGATTGGTATTTAATAACTGAACTCTCCCTTAATGCATTGCAGGCTGAGGTTAGCTTTCTTGGACAGCTTCACCATCCCAATCTTGTTAAG